CACTCCAAACATTTCCATAGCCTGCCCGCATACGGAAACTCAGGAGGAAATACAGGGAGGAGGGAAAGAACAGGGCACCACAAACTAGCATCACTCTCTCATACAGTACACACTCACATACAGTATTTATATATAAATGCAATACACACACACACACACACACAAATATGACATATACTGTAAAGAAAGCTATAGTTCACATTGATTTATTTGTGAGATTCTTTCCATCCAGTGTGACTATTGCTTGTAAATGTGAACTAGACAGAAAGTTAAGTCTTAATGGCAACTGTATAATCTCATGTGGCGTGGCAGTATGGCTTAGACCAGTGTTTCCCAACCTTTTTTTGTCTTATGTACCTATTGACTTCTATAATTCTTGTTCTAATAAACTGTGTGGATCTTGGTAGTTTCAGTAAACACAGATCTGAATTCATGGATAACAATACCAGGATCGGTGTGTCGTCTAATGCCACTTCTGTGAAATATTGACATTGTTCTCCGCATGCAGTTAACTGGCACCTATTATGTGTATGTGTGTGTAGTTAAAGCTTGTCATGTGTCTCACTTGTGATGTGAAGCTAAGATTGTGTTGTGTGTATAGATTAGCGTATAGATGAGTGTGCACTCAGTTAGGTGAAAGTCAAAGTTACTTTTTGGGGCTCTGTGTTAGAGCTTCAACTCCCTGTAAACGTCAAGAAGTCTTCATTTTGCTGAGGCTATTAAATCAAAATTTGACCTGGTTTACTTTCTTAATACATGGTCTTATTGTGAATGATTTACATTGTTCCATTTGGTATACATTGCATTCATTCCATTATGTACAGTATAGAAAAAAATTTCTAAAATTTGGGGTCAGTGAGATTTATTTTTGTTATTGGAAAGAATTTAATACTTTCATTCAGCAAGGACACACTGAAAAAAATGTTTCATTCATCCAATTATCATCCCTTAGGGCAAGTTATTTCTTTTTCATTGGCTCAAGTTAAAAAATATAGATGTGAATCATTACCCTAATTTTTTTTAATTGGATGAATGAAACATTTTTTTCAGTGCACATTACATTTATCAAAAGTGATAGTAAAGTCATATACTGTATTAAGCAGCACAACTGTTTTCAACTCTGATAATAATGCTTCTTGAGCACCAAATCAGCATATTAGAATGATTTATGAAGGACACTGAAGACTGGAGTACTGGCTGCTGAAAAATCAACTTTGCCATCACAGGAATAAATTACATTTTAAAATATACAGTTATTTTAAACTGTGATAGTATTTCACAATATTACTGTTTAACTGCATTTTACCTGCTTGGTGAACATAAGAGACTTAAAAAAACTGTGTGTACAGTTCATTATCCCAAAGACAAAAAATATGTATCTGCTTTCATCAAAATGTAGCAACCAAGTCCATCTCTGAAACAAATTATTTTCTTTTGAGTGACTTAACGAGGGCCAAGTGGGATGTTTTATAAGATTAACAAAAGCCAAATAGCTATTTAGGTAGCGTTTTAGGACAGATTATCAACTGTTTTTGCATCAGGATCTAAATGTTACATTCGCCATCAGGTGGTGACCCAACACAATAACAAACATAAACTGTATTTAATGTAGTAACTGTTTTCTTCAGGGGTTTTTGGGACAAGCAAATGGTCTATGTTGGTCTCTGCATAATTTGACTAGTTTCTTCTAAGTGACATTCATTGGTTGCCAATAGAGTAGCATAGAGTTTGAATGAACGCATAGGGTTACTCTACCTAAAAATGAAAATACAATTATTATTTACTGACTCTCATGCTGTCCAAAATGTGTATGACTTTCTTTCTTTAGATGAAAAGAAAAAGATTTTTAGAAAAATAATCCATCTCTTTAAAGCCCTTCAGGAATTCAACCGAGGGGGACACATTTCCTGCACATAACATAATGAAGATTTATTACATTTCTTTTGCTTATTATCTTTCATATTACTACATGTAAACAGTAGTGTTAGCTACTTTGAAGCACTTATAGCCTATATTTAGTAGTCACGTTCACAGCAAAAACTTCCATTAACCAATTAGAATTCAAATATTTTATGGTTTCCTTCATCAAGGCATATTTAAGTAAATGTTACATTTAAGGATATTTGTGTAACTGTAGCATATGATTATGCTTGAAAAAAAAAGAGTAAAATGTACTGATACTTTTCTGTCAGGACATACATTTTCCCTTATGGAAATACAGAAATTAACAATGGTTTTACTATAGTAAAAGTGCAGTAACCATGGATAGATTTTGTCATTTTTTTAAACCCACAGTTTAACTACAAATGTATGGTTAAAAGGTTAGTGTCATAAAATCATGGTTAATTTTAATGTGTTTTCCGATAAACCTAAAACACAATGCAGTGCAAAATTCAAAATACATCATATTGAATTTACATACACTGTCCCTAATTTTTAAAGTTTTTTTAATTAATTAAAATTTATTTATTTAATTTGGAGTGTAGAGAAAAGCCTTACAAACCGTATCCATTATATAAAATTGCAATGTTAAAGTTAAATAACAACGTTCCCTTTACTAGAGACAACAAAAATCCCATATATATACTAGGCTATTTAATAATAGTTCAAATTTAAAATGGGCAATATTGTGCTGAATGTAGAACTTGACGACAACAACAATAATAACTAAGTACAAAATAAAAAATATATATATACTAGAAGCTGGGTGTGCTCCTCAAGAGGACTATGGTATTGTAAATTTATTAATATTTTATATATTTTATATTTGCAGTTTTTCAAAGTACAACTGTTTACATGTAGTAGAAAGGTAAGCAAAATAACTTAACTTAACGTTGGATGCCACCCGCCATAAAACATGAAGAAGAAGAAGAGTAATGTTCGCGCTGCGCTGTTGTAACTGATCAGCGCCGCGCTGTCAGTTCGGTGGCGCTAGTAAACACGTCCTCTCTGCGCTGTCGAGTCGGTCGAGCCGCTCGGTCCATTGAGCCGCGCCTATGACAGGTCAGCGCGGCGCGAACACTTGAATACCGCGCCGTTTCGTCCCACATTTGAGTTGTTTGGCTTCCCATACTCTACGACCCCCCATATGACATGAATCGACATCTTCTGATGTGAAATGATAGGTTTATGTAAGAAAAATACACATATTTGTAAAAATTTTTAACTATAAACTAGAGCCCGACCGATATATATTTTTGCCGATATTATCGGCTGATATGAATTTTTTTTTTACAGAACATATAACGCAGATAAAATGCTTGAAATGGTGTAATTACTTAGTTTGTCCAGCAGAGCGAGCTCCATTGTTTGCTGCTGGCGACCTGGATGAAACGCTTTAAAGCTTAATTCTATGGAAAACCATTGAAAATTTGAACGGCCATATCTCCGTAACGGTGCGGCGAATCCGCACCAAATTCGGGGGATCCCTTCAGCTCGAGGAACCCTCTCAAACGCGAATCGAGTGTACGTCTAGAGGCGCGCTTTCGAATGAGACCACCGCCGCGTCGATAGCCCCCACGGTTCGGGGGTTAGGGGTGGTTAAATTTGCAGTCCGGCAGCGACCGATCAAGCGATCCCGGGGGGCTACCGATGCGCGGAGGGTGGCGTTCGATAGGGCTCCTCGAGCTGAAGGGATCCCCCGAATTTGGTGGAGATCTGCCGGCGCGTTCGCGAGATAGTGACACCAGCCAACACTTTCACTTCAGTAAGGAGGTCTCTTGTTCAGGCAGCAGCATTCAAGCGTTGTCTTATTCGACCGTAAGTGCCCTGCGAAGTGGACTTCACATGAAATTCCGCCATGATTCCAGTTCCAAGGGAACATACACGTTACATTCAAAGGCCATTAAAGTGTGCGAGACGTGAATATATTGTATTTATTTACAGAGGTATATTATGTCACACTTCACACTTCTCTAGTAAGTTTCGTCTGTGTGTGAAGACAGTAGCGCAAATCTGTGAATAAATGTTCCGAAGTGAAATCAACTTCAACGGAATAAAGTTGAATGGAATTAAAGTTGAATAAACTTCAACTTTACTGTTCAGTGCACTGATGTCAGACTCATTTTGGATAATAAAGTTTATTGTTAAATTGTTAAATGCCCTGCCTCCATTACATATCTCTGTCACGTCATTATAAGTGTTTCATCACCACATTTGAGTGATCATTGCAAAAAATGTGTTTATGTATATATATTCTGTGTATGTATATACTGTAGCCTCTTCTATATATAGTACTAGTCAAATGTTTGGACACACGAATGGGAAAGTGTCCAAACTTTTGACTGGTACTGTACTATAATATACACAAAGAATATCGGCCGATATATCGATATCGGCCTTTTTTTACTCCCTAATATCGGTATCGGTCCAAAAAAACCCATATCGGTCGGGCTCTACTATAAACCATCACTTTCGTCCAACTGTCACTTGCAAGTTTCACAATGTACTGCTGTTTACATCAAGCCTGAATGCATAAATCCTGCCCTAGATTTTGTTCCCGTTGAGCATCCTGTTTCACTCAATACGTCACAGATGGAAGTAAAATGAGTTGCGAATACTAATTCATTTTGCAAAACTTATGAGAATAGGAATGCGTAAATGAATAACAGTCAATATTATAAAGTCTAAAAAATTCATTTGATATTCTGATCTAAGATGATCTGTAGATGTAGTTTTGTTTTTGTGAGGTGTCACTGTATACACAAGTACTACACTGGTTCTCACATTGTATCACTGTCATATGACTCAAACGTGTTATGTTTGCACTTCAGTTTTATCTTAAGTGCAAATCAAGGATATTGTTTGCCATCTTTGTGTAAAGCTTCTGTTTGCCAAATAACCTGGTTTGACTTCTGATGAGCACCACTGAGACTAATCACTGGATATTACAATGCAGAAGTTGTTATTGTTTCCACTATTAAGAGCCAAAATTCACTCCATTTATCTCCAACCCACTTTGGCTTCATATTTCTCTGTTCTTCATTTCACTCCTCCCTCAGTTCTGATTCTGGAGCCTGTGGAGAGAGACGACCTGAGCGGGAAGACTCTGAAGATTACAGACTTCGGCCTTGCTCGGGAATGGCTTCGCACCACGAAGATGAGCGCAGCGGGCACGTATGCCTGGATGGCTCCAGAGGTCATCAAGCTGTCCCTGTTCTCCAAAAGCAGCGATGTTTGGAGGTGAGCTTCCGTCCTGCTCTGGACTATCTTTTGCGGCCTAACTAGAGGTTTTGTGGCTGATTATGGTCTTTTTCGTGTCAGTTTTGGAGTGTTACTCTGGGAGCTGCTGACTGGTGAGGTGCCATACCGTGAAATCGATGCTTTGGCTGTGGCCTATGGAGTTGCTATGAACAAGCTGACCCTTCCCATCCCCTCCACCTGCCCTGAGGCCTTTGCACAGCTGCTGGGAGGTAAGAACAGTTACAGTTGAACCACATGAAACATTGACCTGTGAGATATCCACTCTTTACATCAGATCATTATTCATCTGTCTCTCTCTCTCTCTCTTCTGTAGAGTGTTGGTGTCCTAACCCACATGGACGTCCTTCTTTTGGGAGTATCTTGAAAAGGCTGGTGGACATTGAGCAATCAGCCATGTTCCAGATGCCCCTCGAGTCTTTCCATTCCCTGCAAGAAGACTGGAGGCTGGAGATCCAGCAGATGTTTGATGAACTACGAGCAAAAGAGAAGGTTAGGACCACTGCTCCGGGTGTGTGTTCACGGTGTGTGTGTGTGTTCACTGCTGTGTGTGTGCACTTAGGATGGGTTAAATGCAGAGCACTAATTCCTAGGATGGTTCACCATACTTGGCCACATGTCACGTCACTTCACTTCGTCACTTCACTTCACTTCATAAATTTGTTTAATAAGGAGAAAGTACGAGAGGCATGTGGTGAACTTCTGAAATATTTTCATATTTATGGATTCAGTTGATATTTAAACCATTTGCACAATGAATATGGATCACCATTTACCCTATATTGTCAACCAGTACTATAATACCATATAATTTACACATTTAACCATATGAATAATATTATAATTTATATTAATATACTATAAAACCCAGTCACATTGAAGTCTTGTAAATGTAGTTTTTTTTTTACATTTTTAAAATTTCAAATAAAATAACTTCAATAATACAGTAACTTTTTTTCCAAAATGTTTGCTTCTGGACTGTCACTTAGCAGCCAATACCAAATGATCATTTTCTAAATTTAAAAAGAATAATAAAATCAATACAAATACAAAATTACTATATTAGTTGTTTTATAAAATATACTAGATTTGAAAAGTTTAGGGTTGGTAGGATGTTTAAATGTTTTCTCTTTTGCTTGCCAGAGGCTACATTTATTTGATCAAAATACAGTAAAAACAGTAATATTTTCAAAATATTATGACAGCTTTAACTGTTGAAAATTTAGTTTGTTGAAAATAATATGTGAAAATGACATGATCTTTCAGAAATCATTCTAAAATGCTGATTTGGTGCCCAAGAAAAAGTTCTTATAATTATCAATGTTTGTTTTTCCTCAGTATTCTTTAATGAATAGAAATTTCAAAAGAACACCATATTTGAAATTTGAAGACATTTTTTAAACAGTGTAAAACATTTTACTGTCACTTTTGATCACTTTAATACATCCTTGCTGAATAAAATAAAATAAAAAAATCTTACCGACCCCAAACATTTGAACGGTTCTGTACTTTTACCGGTAGATATTTTATAAATTTAGGAACTAATAAAGAGTACAGATTAGATGGTTAAGACTACAGTGTAGGTTTACACACAAGTATTGTGAGCCAATATACAAATAGAGAGCCTAATGTGTAGGAAAATCTAATCATCTACGCTTAGGGAAATTACACTAGCAACAATATTATAAGCAATAACTTGTAGGCTCAGTGGATTAGCGGTCTAAATAATCGCCTGTTCATTAGGAGTTGCGATCCTGGGAGGAAGCTCTGGCGCGGGCAGCTGAGGAGCAGAGGGAGCAAGAGGAGCATCTGAGGAGGCGTGAGCAGGAGTTAGCCGAGAGGGAGATTGACATCGTGGAGAGAGAGCTCAACATCATCATCCATCAGATGTATCAAGAGAAACCACGAGTGAAAAAACGCAAAGGCCACTTCAAAAAGAGCAGACTGCTCAAACTTGGCAGAGACAGCAACTGCATCAGTCTGCCATCTGGTGGGTGGAATGAGAATATACACTACCGGACAAAAGTTTGGAATAATTATGATTGTTTAATGTTGTTCTTCTGAAGCTGCATTTATATGGCTGTGGTGCGATTTGAATAAAGTCAAAACAGTAACATTGTGAAATTTAATTACAATTTAAAATAACTTTAGGTGGGACGTTCGCTTTCAGTGCTATCAGGCTAAAGTTAGCATTTTCCAAGATCTCCTATTGTACCTTTAATATATTTTATGATTTAATTTATTCCTGTGATGGCAACGCTGAGTTTTCAGCAGCCATTACTCCAGTCTTCAGTGTCACATGATCCTTCATAAATCTTTCTGATAAGCTGATTTGCTGCTCAAGAAACATTTTTATTATATCTGCTGCTTAATATTTTGTGGAAACTAATCAATCAACGCTTCAACTCAGCAAGGATGCATTTTAATTGATCAAAAGTGACAGTAAAGACGTTTAATGTTACAAAAGATTTTATTTCAAATAAATGCTGCTTTTTATTTTCTATTTATCAAAGAATATTAAGCAGCATTGATAATAATAAGAACCATTATTAATAATTGAGTGCCAATAATAACTGATAATAATTGAGTGCCAAATCAGCAGATTAGAATGATTTCTGAAGGATCATGTGATACTGAAGACCGGAGTAATGATGCTGAAAATTCAGCTTTGCCATCACAGAAATAAATTACATCATAAAATATATTGCAATAGAAAACAGTTATTTTAAATTGTAATTCAATTTCACAATATTACTGTTTTTACTGTATTCAAATCACAATAATAATAATATTTCACAATATTGCTGTACATTTACCGGTATATTCAAAGGAATTCCCCCCCCCCAATCAAATTAGTGTTATTGTCCAGTAAAACAATTTTTTATCATACATTGGGAATTAAAACTGTATGTTTTAGGTTTTGAACATAAGATCACAGTGCAAGCGTCACCCAGTGTGGACAAGAGGAAAGGTCAGGGTAGTGAAAGCACCACTCCTCCAGCCAGCCCAGGGGTCATCCCTCGCCTCAGAGCCATACGCCGTAAGTCAATGCCTGAATGTTTTGGTTTTATATAAGAGAATAAACAAGGACCAGAGTACATTGCTGGAGCAGTACATACTGATGTGTGCCTGCACTGCCATGTGCCAACAATCAATACCACTTAAAAGAGTTGAATGTGTCTGTGAAGTGCATTGAGACTGTCTTAGCTTACATACTTGTGTTTCTATGTAATCCATACTTTATGTTGAGTTAGGTAGCAATATGTAGTATGCTAAAGCAAAGATAATATTGAATATTTTCTGAAATGTGTTTGGATTGCTGTGTGGTCTAGTGACGCCTAGTGATGGAAGGAAAACATGGGGCCGGACGGCAGTGTGTAAGAAAGAGGATCTAGGGACCAAGAAGAAGGGCCGAACATGGGGGCCCAGCTCCACACATCAGCGCGAGAGAGTCGGTGGAGAGGACAGGTAGACCAAAAAATATACATTTAAAAGAGTTGTATTTCTTTTTCTTTTTTTATATTGGATTTTTTAATTTAATTTAATTTTATTATTTCTTTAGAAGTCCACTTATGTTTTTTAATGACTTATTATTATTATTTTTAAGTAAATAATTGTCTTACAAAATTTTGTATAGGGGGAGAGTGGGGTAAGATGAGCCAGTGGGTAAGTTGACCCACCCCCTGTATCTTGCCAACTGTACACTTTTATTGTCATGCGACAATATATTTTGAAACCACCCATAATTTCTGCCAGACTGTGAAAAGAAGAAACACACGAGAGGAGTGGAAGTCACCCAATTACTTTAAAAACTGTTTTTGGCTTGTCAAAGTAAAATTTTAGCATAACAAATGTAATGGTTGTTACATCAAAGTAAATTTATCCAGGTCTAAAAATATTTATGATGCATATAAGTGATTTAGCAATGTATAAAACCATGTAAATCATTTAGCTAAATATTAGCCTGAATTAGTAAGCAAGCTAGTTTTTACCAAAATGGCAGCTATGGGGCAAAGTGAGCCAAATGCTGTGGGGTAAATTGAGCCAGCATTTTATCTTACCCTACCATAAGGCACTGAAGTTAAGTTAAATCTCTGAAGTATAAACTGGTAGTTTAACGTGATGGTACACAACTGATTTAGTTTATCATATATACATACCAAAACATGCTCCTATGACAGCTGGATTCTCAAGCCTAAATGAAATGGGTGAGTCTGAATCACATGCTTATAGACACACGGTATAATGAACCTGCCTCAGATTGGAACATTATGACCCGACACAGTACATCAAACAGATTAATACTGATATCGACTGAAATTATAGGAAGTTTACGATCTGTTTCTCTTCATTCATTATTAATTCACTACCTCTTTTTTCTGTGTAGAGGAGCACTGTGAGTTTGATGACAGTTCCCCAGGACGCCTGGCTCCTGACCTGGGCAGTAATGGAGCGATGGAGGAGGTGGGTTTAGGATCAGCGAGTACAGGGCTGGGAATATGCTCACTGGATTCAGTTCGGCGCTGCAGCCAGAGGAAAAAGAGTGACCTTCTGCTGCTGGGCTGTGCCTCTGTACTGGCCGCTGTGGGCCTTGGTTCTGACATCTTCCAGCTGGGACGACCACAGGTACACATATAAGAGACTGAGAAAGTGGAAAAGAAAGTAAGGAACGTAAGAAAAGAGGCTTAATAGGAGTGTTGATAGTAGTGTCTTTTCAGTGCATTTTTAATGAATGTATTTTCATAAACAAGACTACAAATAATGATTATTACTATGTAATTATAATACCGGTACATGTAACAATTAATTGTAATACTTATGTGAATTAATATTTGTAATTTAATATTGAAATAAATAGTTTCACAATAAATATAATCATTACATATTAAAGGCACAATATGTAAGATTTTTTTATTAAAATATCCAAAAACCACTAGAACAGTGTTATGTATTTTGCTGACTTGTGTACTTACATGATCCCAAATGTTTCGAAGATTGTTTAAAGGGGTTATATGATGCTGCTAAAAAGAACATTATGTTGTGTATTTGGTGTAATGAAATGTGTTTATCCGGAGCGTAACATAAAACCATGTCTCCATTTGTGATCGGAGAAATGGCAAACAACAAGTGCTACTCTACACTGCCCAAAACTCGCGTTTGAATCGTCAGTGGCAAATTCTTTAAATATAAAAAACATACTTACAATCTGTGAGTCGGAACAGCTGGCATTGTAGTCTACTCTACTAGGATCAGGAAACAGTCCTCCATAAAATGTGCTGCACACATCTGAATATTTGGGTTGAAGTGTTCTGGAACAGTGTTGTAAATACAACTTAACCACTGATTTCTAGTCGTGTCCTCTTTTGGAAGACCAAACAAAGTAGTTTCGCTTTCACAATGAAACAGCGTCACACACGGCGGCGGCCTAGAGCAGGGGTTTTCAACCTGTGGGGCGTCAGCATCAGTTAATTCAGAGACATTCCCTTGAGGATTTATGAATACAAGTTAGCAAATCTTTAGCCATCCACTAGGGGGCAGCAACCCTGGTCACGCTTATTGACAGTGTAAGATGATTTATGATTAGCCGTGTCGGAAATCCAATCACGGATTGGCATGTTGTTATCTCAGAAACAGGCTCAGCCATCACATTGAATCAGGTAAACTGGTTATATATTTATGTTTCAGTATAATTACGCACGCTATACCAGGGGCGGTTCTAAACCCTTTTTAGGTGGGTTTCAGCCCCCCTATCTGTCACCTTAGCCCCCCAAAACTATCTTAACGATCAGGCCAGTGCTGCTTCCTCAAGAAAGTTTTTCATTCTCACGTGTTTTAATTCTTGTCAGTTTAAACATGAAAGCAATTTTAAGCCATTTAAGCCCAAGACATCTCTGTGATAGAGCGTTTCTATGCGCACCGCGCACACATCTGAAGTGCACAAACATATAATGTTAGCCTTCTCAGACAGCAGGTGAAAACCAATGGCTGTCTTGACAAGTATCCTTGTAAGCACAGTCGGTTGTTTTAAGTGAACGTAAACAATAAAGAAAATATCAGATGTACATCAGTATAACGGATCCGTGCATTTCTTATATAAATGTTAATCAAAAAGAGCAAAAGAAAAATAATTAGCTGCTTTAATAGCTTTAATGGATATTTGTGTTATGTTGATGTTTATAAAGTAATTTGGTGTGAATACAGTAATGGCGGAGGGGGGTGCGCGAGTGAAATTCTTGTCCTAAAAGGTTGAAAACCCCTGGCCTAGAGTGAGCGGAGGCCGGCGGGCTGAGTGAGAGGAGGCCGGTGAGCTTGAGAACGGCGCGGTGGGCGGGCTTGCGGCAACCACATGTGACGACCCCAGGCTGGACTCTGCTTCGTCCATGGTGAAAGCCGATCCGGTGATCCACAGCGCGAAGGTGTTAGAACGAGCCGTTTTAGGTAGGTGTGGTTGAATCTTAATTTTTATAAAGAATATCTCTTTGGATTTGAGACTTTAGTCTTTGCAACTTTACAGATCTTCTTTATGCATCAAGAGCTTGTAACACTTCAAAGAGAAAGGAAAAATTTTAATCGCATCATATGACCCCTTTAATTCCAGAGAAATAAGCAATTTTAACTAGTGACACGGCCCGTGTCCTTAGTGTCATTGTGTCGCCTGCCAATGACATCATAACCCCTCGATTTCCGGTTTTGTTTTGTAGAAAACATGGAAACACCAAAGACGCTTTAATATGTTGTGCGTTTTAATAGACC